GTAGGCCCGGGAAGGTGGACGCGTCACCAGCGCTGGCCAGCGTCTGCCCGTTTCTCCAGCTCCCGCTCGGCCACTTATCTGAGACTCAGCCAAGAGGACCGACGGTCTCCCCTGCAATCACGTCCAGGTCACGCTGGACCCCACGGACCCTCCAGTCCAGCTGCCCCCTCTGGAGACTTGTACTAGAAACCACCGGGGACACGCCGGGGAAACCAGCCACACATATAAAAACACAGGGGTGCAGACGGGGGTGCAGCGCGGGGCTGGGGAAACCCCGCAGTCAGGAGACCCGGCCGGGATGGACATGAACAGGACGCGGTGACGGCTTCGGAGGGTCGCCGCGCTCGGAGGCGGCAGGACAGGGACGCGCTGCTAAGCCACGTCCATGACTCCTCCAATAAGACGGACTCCCTGTCTCTGACTCGGGGGGACCCCACCGTCCGGCGGCGTGGACAGCATCGTGGAAGTGGACAATGAAAACGCGCGTGCAAAGGGCGAGCACGGCTGTAAGAAGACAGAAGCACAGCCGGGGGGCAAATATTTATTGCAATCATTTCTGCCCCAATATTTACTGTCATTATTTCTGTCCTTAGGAGGACAGACTGTCCCCCCTGTAATCACCTCCGGGGTCACGCTGGACCCCACTAGCCCTGCAGCCCAGCTGCATCCTCTGGAAACAGACATGCGCGAGAAACCAGCGGGACAGGCGCGCGCGCAAAGGCGCAAGCGCGCGCGCTCCAGACCCGTGTCCTGCAAAGCCTGAGGGACGGCGTGGACGAGGCTCTGCACCAAGGTCCGGCCCCCAGGCCAGGGCGCAGGGTCCGAGCGCAGGACTGGACATGGCAGCGGAATCGGGGACAGGAGCGCGCGCGCCTCGAAACAGGGTTTCTCCAAGGCGGGCTGGAGACGGCTACAGGGCTCCGGGGCGCGCGCAACGCGCGCGTCAGGCAGAAGCGGAGCAGGAACAAGCTCGGGGGGGACGCGGCCTCCGCAGTGACCCCTCCGCAGTGAACCCCCGCAGGATGAGCTCGTCAGGCGCGTGCTGCAAAAGCGGGAGCAGAAAGGACTTGAGTGCGACGCCCCCAAACCAGACGCAAACCGGGGAGAGCGGCGGGTGTCCAGGGGCCGAGAAAGAGGCCAGGAAAAGGTGCAGCGGGTGTCCAGGTCCTGAGGGCGGCGTCTGGGAGGCCGGCTAGGCCGCCCCGGAAGGAGGGGTGGACACTCCCCTCGCAGGTGGGGAGGGGCGAGCCCGGAGGTGCCCCCCGGTCCCGAAACAGGCCCCCCCAGTCCCAGCAGCTCTTTCTGCTGCTTGTCAGGCTGTTCCCGAAGGGCAGGTCCAGCCAGACAGGCCCGAGGGGAGGGGGGGGGGGGCAGGGGTCAGGATGGGGGAGGGGCAGGGCAGGAGGGGAAGGCAGGAGACCAGGCAGGGGCGGGGCTGAAGAGCCCCAGGGGCAGCTGGACCACCTGGCAGCCCCCACCTGTCTCACCTGCCTCCACTTGTCCTACCTGCCCCCACCTGTCCCACCTGTTCCACCTGCCTCCACTTGTCCTATCTGCCCCATCTGTCCCACCTGTCCCACCTGTCCTACCTGTCCCACCTGTCCCCACCTGTCCTACTTGCCCCCACCTGTCCCACCTGCCTCCACTTGTCCTACCTGCCCCACCTGTCCCACCTGTCCCATCTGCCTCCATTTGTCCTATCTGCCCCCACCTGTCCCACCTGCCCCCACCTGTCCCACCTGCCTCCACTTGTCCTACCTGCCCCACCTGTCCACCTGTCCATCTGCCTCCATTTGTCCTATCTGCCCCACCTGTCCCACCTGCCCCACCTGTCCCACCTGCCTCCACTTGTCCTACCTGCCCCACCTGTGCCACCTGTGCCACCTGTCCCACCTGCCTCCACTTGTCCTATCTGCCCCACCTGTCCCCACCTGTCCTACATGTCCCACCTGTCCCCACCTGTCCTACTTGCCCCACCTGTCCCACCTGCCTCACTGTCCTACCTGCCCACCTGTCCCACCTGTCCCACCTGTCCCATCTGCCTCCATTTGTCCTATCTGCCCCCACCTGTCCCACCTGCCCCCACCTGTCCCACCTGCCTCCACTTGTCCTACCTGCCCCCACCTGTCCCACCTGTCCCCACCTGCCCTACCTGCCCCCACCTGTCCCACCTGCCTCCACTTGTCCTACGTGCCCCCACCTGTCCCACCTGCCCCCACCTGTCCTACCTGTCCTGTCCCACTTGTCCTACACTTGCCCTGCCACCTGTCCCACCTGCCCCCACCTGTCCTACCTGTCCCACCTGTCCACCTTGTGTCCCACCTGCCCCCACCTGTCTGCCTCCACTTGTCCGATCTGCCCCCACCTGTCCCACCTGCCCCCGCACCCACAGACCTGGGAGTGGGCGGCGCCAGCAGAGCCCTAGCAGGGGCACAGGCCGCGGGGTGGGGGCCTCTCTGCCTGGGGGGCTCTGGCTGAGCCCCCGACCGATAAAACTGCTCCGGCCCTGCCCCCCCCCGCAGGCCCCCTGGCCGGCCCCGGAGGCCAGCGCGGACGTCAGGACCCGAGCAAAGTGCGCGGGAGGGGGCGCCCCGCGCCAGGGTCCTCCTGCTCCCCGCCTGCGCCGCAGCGGCCCCGGGCCAGCAGGGAGCGACCGCCGCCGGCCACCAGCCGGGCCCAGGGGGCTGCGGGGCGCGCGGAGCCCCCGTGTCCCCCCGCCCCGACAGAGCGGCTGGGGCTGGGGGCGCGGCTGACCCGGGCAGGGGAGGCGCGTCCCCGCTGCCCCCCCCCCTGTACCTGGGCGGGACCCGTCCCGGGGCGCGTCCTTCCCGGCGGCGAGCGCGCGCGCGCGGGCTGAGGGTCCTCGCGGCGCCTCCCCGCCGTCCCGGGGCGCCGGCTTCCTGGGGGGCTGGGCGCCCCGCCTTTCGCCTTCCGCGCGAGCCCACGGCGGCCCCTTCCGCCCGCGGCGCGCGGCCAGGGCGGGGCCGGCTCGGCGCGGGGGGCGCGGCCTCGGCGCCGGGCGCTCCCGCCCACAGGAAGCCGCGCCGGGCGCCGGGGCGGGGGAGCCCCGTCCGCCCCCCGGGACGCAAAGGCGGCTGCCCAGAGCCGCAACCCCCAGGGCGCGCGGCCGGGACCCGCCGGGGGCGCTGGCGAGGCCGAGGACCTGGCTGCCGCCCCGCGCCCCCAGCTGCGGCCCCGCGGGGTGGGAGGCCCCGGAGCTGGAGCCTGCAGAGACCCCACCACCCCCCGGCTCCCCAGAGGGCCCCGGGCCCGCGGTTCTCGGGGTTCCTCCCAGCCGGAGCGGACCCCCGGCTCGGGCGGGGCCTGCACCCCACGCGCTGAGTGGCGGTTGCAAAGGAGACTTGCTGTTAGGGTCACCCGGCCCAGCGGAGGTCACGGCTCCGGTTGAGTTATGTGGTCACCCAAGGAATCTGTATGCTGGGGCCCGACCCCAGAACCCCAGAACCCCAGGAATCCAGGACCCCAGGACCCCAGGAATTCAGGACCCCAGTATCCCAGGAGTCCAGAACCCCAGAAATCCCAGGACCCCAGAATCCCAGGATTGCAGGACCCCAGGAATCCAGGACCCCAGAACCCCAGGAATGCAGAACCCCAAAAACCAGAACCACAGTAATCCAGGACCCCAGAACACCAGGAATCCAGGATTCCAGAACCCCAGGAATACAGAACCCCAAGACCCAAACCCCAGAACACCAGGACCCCAGAACCCCGGGAATCCAGGACCCCAGAACCCCAGGAGTCCAGGACTCCCAAAACCCAGAAATGCAGAACCCCAAGACCCAGAACCACAGCAATCTGGGACCCCAGAACCCTAGGAACTCAGGATGCCAGAACCCTAGGAACTCAGGATGCCAGGACCCCAAAACCTCAGGGACTCAGAAACCCAGGAATGCAGGACCCCAGAACCCTAGGAATGCAGAACCCCAGGAATCCAAGGCACAGGAAGTCAGAACACCAGGAACTCAGGACCCCATAACCCCAGGAGTCCAGTACCCCTAAGCCCCAGAAATGCAGAACCCCAGGAATCTAGGACTCCAGAACCCCAAGAACTCAAGATGCCAGGACCCCAGAACCCGAGGAACTCAGAACCCTAGGAATACAGGACCCCAGAACCGCAGGAACTCAGAACCTCAGGGATCCAAGACCCCAAAACCCTAGAATGCAGAACCCCAGGAATCCAGGACACAGGAAATCAGGACACCAGGACCCCAGAACCTCAGGAGCTCACAACCCCAGGACGGGCTGTGTTGGAGCTGGAGCTGTCAGGAGGAGATGCAGGGACAGTGAGGGGTTGGGGGGGCATCCCGACCCCAGGACGGGTCCCCATATGAAGAGCAGGTGAGGACAGACACCCCCACCTGTGGGGACTCGGGGAGAGGACGGTACACACCGGGAGGGTGGTCAGGAGGAGCCGCCTGCCCCACCAGCTGGACATCAGCACTGGGACAGGGGGGTGAGCCCTGGTGAGGGGGTGAGCCCTGGAAACTGCGGGATTCGGGTCTTGCAGCCCCCCCCAAACTAGGGGCGTGGCTAATTACGAGCAAATCCCCCCGAGGAATCCGTCCCCCAGGGGAGCCCACCGTCCCCATGCAAGGTGTCCTGTGTGCTCGTGGGCAGGGGGTCATTGGGGGCCCAGGTCCTCCGTGGCCCCCATGCCGGCCTCGTGGGTCCGCACCCTCTCCCTGTTGGGGTGCGTCCTGCACCCCCCGGCCTCACCAGAGGGCCCAGAAATCCCCTCCCCATTTCCAACGAGGAAACCCCACTGTCCCCCAGAGGTCGCTGCTCTACTGTAGAGCTCTACTGCTGTCCACTGTCCACTGTCCCGCCCACAGCCCTCTCGGGGAGTCTCCCCTGGGCACGGGGGTCCTGCCCTGTCCTGCCCTGAAGCCGGGTCTTCCCTGCAAAGCTGCGGCGAGGTCTTGAGTCTGTGCCCGGGCGGCGCGGTCAGCCGTGGCCCCTCGTGGCCTGGACGCCACCCCTCAGAGCATCATGTACGCGTTGTTGTCCATCACGAAGGTGACGTCCCCCAAACAGACCAGCTCCCCGCCCGGGGCGGGCTGAGGGCCCCCACTGGCTGCGAGCACCCCCGTCTGCAGGCTCGAGGGACGGGCGGTCATTGCGGGTCTCTGGGCCTCGTCCTTGCTGAGCTGGACCACCAGGGCGTCCTCGGGGCCACCGTCCTGCTCCCCGGTGTCCATCTTGTGCCAGGGAACCACGTTCTGGGTATCCTGGATCCATTCCTGGGGGATGTTGAGAGTCACACCCCAGGATACCTGCGTGGGGGACCATCAGGGGTGTCCCCCTGGTGAGTCGTTCTGTTCCCCTAAATGGGGGGGTCCACTGGGACGTGAGCCTGGGACTCTGTGTCCTCCGTCCCCCACCCCCGGCCCCAACAACAGAAACACGCACCTGGAAGTCCCCGCGGTGGGACTCAAACAGCCCCGGGAAGCTGGACTTGGGGTCGGGCACACTGGGGATGAGGAGCTTCTGCACCCTGAAATGCACGTGGGTTCACACAGGCCCCCAAGACGCTCAGGGCAGGCCCCCCAAATGCTCAGAAAGGCCCCACCCCAAGATATTCAGAACCGGCCTCCTGAGATGCTCAGAACAGACCCCCAAGTTGCTCGGAACAGGCCCCCAGGATGCTCAGAACAGCCCCCCCAAGATGCTCAGAACAGCCCCCCAGTATCCTCAGAACAGGCCCCCTGAGACATGTCACTTGGGCACATGGATTATTCTGAACTGACATCAACCGAGGGCCTCTTGGAAGGAACTGTGGGGCTCAGCTCTGCTCCCTGAAGGAATGGGGGTGATCCTACCCCTTCATGGATGGGGGCCCCCGCCCTGCACTTGCACGTCCAGAGGCCGGTCCCCTCACCTGCGGAGCTTCCACAGAAACAGGGCGAGCAGGAGCACCGTGAGCAGGGCCACCAGGCAGGAAATCAGCATAAACTTGGGGAACGGGACCGGGGGGTCTTCCTCGGAGCAGGCATCTGGGGCCACAGAGAGTGGGCGCCTGAGGCATCTCGCCGTGGGCGTCCCCCCGAAACCCCCTTCGGTGTATTCCTCAGTGAGGGCCAGCAAGTGAGCACTTAAGGGGGATGCTGGGGAAAGTGAGGGGCCCTGGTCTCCGCAGGTCCCTGGGGTGTGACAGAGTCAGGGGTGCTTCTGGCTGTTGAGTGTTTCCTTGTGCACCTGCACCCCCAGGTAGGGGCCCATCCTAAACCCTAAATCCATCCATGCGCCACCCACCCACACACCCACACATACACCCAACACCCACACACCCACACGGCCATCCATCATCCATCCGCCCATCCATCAGCCAGCCAGCATGTCTGTGTGTCCATCCTCCCATCCAACCCTCTACCTACCTACCTACCTGTCATCCACCTTCCATCATTCTTTCATCATCCATCCTCCATCCATCATCATCCATCATCCATCATCCATCATCCATCCATCCATCCATCCATCATCCATCATCCATCCTCCATCCATCATCATCCATCCATCCATCATCCATCCATCATCCATCCATCCATCATCCATCCATCCATCCATCATCCATCCATCATCCATCCATCATCCATCCTCCATCATCCATCATCCATCCATCATCCATCCTCCATCCATCCATTATCTATCATCCATCCATCATCCATCTTCCATCATCCATCCATCATCCATCATCCATCATCCATCCATCCATCCATCCATCCATCATCCATCCATCATCCATCATCCACCCTCCATCCATCCATCATCCATCCATCCATCCATCCATCCATCCATCCATCCATCATCCATCCATCATCCATCCATCATCCATCATCCATCCATCCATCCATCCATCATCCATCATCCATCCATCCATCCATCCATCCATCATCCATCCATCATCCATCATCATCCATCATCCATCCATCCTCCAACTTCCATCATCCACCCATCATCCATCCATCATCCATCCTCCATCCTCCATCATCCACCATCCATCCATCATCCATCTTCCATCCATCCATTATCTATCATCCACCATCATCCACCATCCATCCATCATCCATCTTCCATCCATCCATTATCTATCATCCACCATCATCCATCCATCCATCCATCCATCCATCCATCCATCCATCCATCACCCATCTGTCATCCATCATCCATCCATCCTCCATCTTCCATCATTCACCCATCATCCATCCATCCTCCATCATCCACCATCCATCCATCATCCATCCATCATCCATCCATCATCCATCTGTCATCCATCATCCATCCATCATCCATCTTCCATCCTCCATCCATCCTTCATCCATCCATCATCCACCATCCATCCATCATCCATCTGTCATCCATCATCCATCCATCATCCATCATCCATCATCCATCCATCCTTCATCCATCCATCATCCATCCATCCAATCTTCCACCTGGCTAATTTTCCATCTATCTGTCATCCATCCATCTCTGCCGGTACCAGTGGAGTAACATGAGGGGCACTTGCTCTCATTCTTGCTGAATTAATCAAAATGAAAAATGAAAGCCCAGACCAAGAGGAGCACAGCCGGGCAGCAGAGCAGCCATCCCCTCTGTCCAGCCCCTCTCTGGAGAAGGCGGGGAGGTCGCTGTGACCCAGGGCTCCCAGACCATCACCCCAGGGGCTCACCAGTGAGCTGCCCACCCTGCTGGAGCGTGACCGCTGACCACTCGCTGGGCTGGGCAGTGTCCTGATAGGCGTATGGCAGCGGCTTGGCTCTGACCCGGAAGGAGTAGCACTTCTCCGCGTCCACGCCGACGATGGTGACATTACAGGTGTCCTCCTCCTCTTGGGACTGGCGGGGAGAGGGGGGGTCAGCCAGCGCCGTGCAGCCCCGCTCACAGCCGCCCCACCCGCTGGCCTGGCCAGCTGGGACCCTGAGCGTCCACACCATGCAGCCAAGATGGACGTGGTTTCTTCTGAGAAACATCCCCTCACTGAAGGACACAGCTGACCCAGACGCAGGGTCCTCTCCAGACACCCCCTCCAGGGAGTCTCCAGGGGTTTGGGCCATGCTGTCCTCCCCCCGTGCTGGGAGTCCCTGCTCTCTCCAGGATGCCCTGGACTCTCCTAGACCTAGGTTGAGGGGGACGCCCCGGCCATGCCGTCCACTATTGGACCCACAGCCCCGTGCATTCCCCACCGGCCATCACCTCTCTCCAGTGGGAGGGACAAGGAGGGCACCTGGGTCAGGCTGCCAGGCCTGGCGTCCAGATGTCACTGTGCAAATGACTCAACAGCCACCAAAGCCTGTGACCCACAGCCAAGGACCCCAGGAGGCGTCCCCAGCGCAGACGCCCAAGAAGCAAACAGAGTCCAACTTCTGTCCTCATCCGGGAGGAGCAAGTTGGGCCCGCAGGGAGCTGCCACGTCACGCCTGGGCCTGCTCTGATCCAGGACAGGGAGTGAGTATCGGGCAGGACTCGGACCCCAGGGAAGCCTCATGACAGCTGGTGGGGGTACAAGGGCGGAGGAGTGGATCAGGGGATGTGGTCTGTACACAGTGGAGTACTATGCAGCTATGAAAAAGGTGACCTTGCCATTTGCAGCACCATGGACTGGGCTGGAGGGGCTGATGCGGGTGGAGAGATGCAGAAATACAGAGATCCCGGGCGGCCTGCAGGGCCTCTGGGTGTGGCCAACACTGGGAACCCCCTGACTCTTATCCATCCACCGTCTGGGTGGGCTGTGTCTAATCAGGGGACGGTCTTCCAAGGCCAGATTGGGGATCCCCCCCATGGAGGAGGGGGCTGAGGCCCCAACAGCCGGACGCAGCCAGATCCTTCACGGAAACCTCTGCATCCCCCCAGGTGGGGATGCATGTCCCCCACCCGCGAGCAGCCGCCCTCACCTGCCACTCTTTGTCGTGGGTGCCCCTGAGCTGCACCTCGTAGCTGAGCCCCTCGTAGGGCAGGTCGGAGCACGTGACCATCACCGCGTCCTCACGCCAGCGGAACCGCAGGCCCCCCGGGGCGGGGGGCTTCACTGGGCGGGAGAGAGAGACGGTGACCCCTGGGCAGGACCGGCCAGGAGCAGCAGAGGGCGCAGGGCCTGCGCCTCCAGTACGTGGTCCCACACTGGGGAATCAGGGCCCCCATTCCTGTACACTTAGATTGGGGGTTCTGTCTCCATCTAGCCTGCAGGCCTGAGAATCGGGGTGCCGTCCCCCTGACTTAGTGGCCTTTCCCCGGTGCTCCAGGCCCCAGCAGCGGTGCCACACACGGAGAGCCCTAAAACCGTTGCCAGTGCCAGTGAGGGGGTGTCTGCTCTGGGTCGGCCTGTGCGCCCCTAAACTGCCTGGCACCCCAACAGGAGCAGGTGCCGGTTGGGGCTTCCCACTGTCCCAGCTGGTCTATCGCATCAGGGGCTCCCAGCTGGACCTCAGACCCTCGCCCTCAGGAGGCAGAGTCACAGCGAGTGAAGAGGTTTTGCCCTGCGTGCAGGATGGACGGTCCCCCCTGGGGGCACAGGACACCGCGGGGTGCACCCCAGGGGGTTCTTGCTCATGGGCAGCCTTCCCTGCAGCCACCGCCGCCGGGGGTCAAGTGGTGGCCCAGCATCTGTGCCTGGGAGGCTCGTGCGTGCCGGGGGGCTCCAGGAAGCTCATGTGTGCACAGGGGTGCAAAGGGGGACCATGGGAGGCTCATGCATGCACAGGGGGGGCCCGCGAGGCTCGTGCATGCACGGGGGGGGCCCTGGGAGGCTCGCGCGTGCACGGGGGCCCAGCACTCACAGTAGGAGCCGACGAGCACCCTCCGGGTGAGGACGCGCTCCGACCCGTTCCACAGGGCGAGGAAGAGCATCCGGTCCCCGTCGGCCGGCAGCTCGCACCCCACCCTGAGGTGCTCCTGGAGGACGTACCGGGGACAGGGGTCCTGCGGCTCCTGGCGGCCGTATCTGTGGGAGCACGGGGAGCTGGCAGGGCCCGCGGCAGCCACGCTCCAGCCCAACGTTCTCCGTCGACAAGCCCTTCACCCCGACACCGACACTGACGCCCCAACTGTGCACAGGACCTCCCCGGGAGCCGGAGGGGGCAGTTGGGGCCTCCCCAGAGCCGGGAGCACGGTCCGGGGACCTCAGACTTTAGGAGGGGCTGGGGATCTGGGGTCCTAGCTGGTCCCCACTTCCTTGCCCAGCTCTGCCCCCCCCGCTCCTGTCCTGGCGACTCAACCCTCCCGTGCGTGCGTGGGGGCGGGGCCCCTTTAGCACCCAGAGCCCAAGCCCCAAAGGCCAAGGGGTTTAGCGGGCGACACCCTGGAGAGTCCAGCCTGCTGTCTCTTCCCATGAGCCTGGCGTTGCCGCGTGGCCCGGCGCGTTGTCTCCTGTGCCAGCAGCGGCGGGGGATCCCCGCCTCTCGCGCTGCTCCTGCTCCCCGAAGCCGCCTGCTCCTTGGACACACCCGTCCCGACTAGCTCTGGTCCTGGGGCGCCCAGGCCGGCCCCTCGGCACAGGTCACCTGGAGGCAGACGTCCCAGCCTGCCCTCCCCGGCCTGAGCCAGGGGTCCGCACCAGGAGTCCCAGGACGCCCCGGCTCCGGGGGGTCCCGTCCCGCCTCCTGCAGCTCCCGGGGCCCCAGCTGGGCAGGTCCAGGTTGCAAGACCCTAGCGGGGGAGCTGACGGCCCCGGGGAGTTTCCTGTACGACTCTGAGGTTTGGGGCGGGCCTTGCCAGCTTCGGCTCAGCAGGCTGGGACCTGTGGCTGCGGTTGTGGGGAGACCTCCGGCTCCCGGGAACCCACGTGGGTGCCCTCAGCTCTCACACCTTCCCTTTCTGGCCTCCTGCTGCCCACAGGAGTCACCCCGAGTGCGGGCCCGGCCGCCCGTCTGCCCGCAGCCACTTACGAGAAGAAGACGGTCAGGTTGGCCGCGGACATGGCGCTGGGGTACCACGTGAGCCGCACGGTCTCGTAGTTGAGGTTGACGATCTCCAGCTTCAGGGCCTGTGCTGGGGGAGACGTGGGCTGCAGACGGCACGGCCAGGGCCACGAGGCTGATGCTTTAAACGCGCACGGAAGATGGTCTAAGGCCAGGATGGTCACACACAAGCTGGTCGTGACTGTATCGGGGAGCTCGGGGTCCATGAAGGGCATCTGAGGGCCTCGGGCCTTCAGAGCCACATTCAGCAGCAACAGGTGATGAGCACAAGTCAGTGGGGGGAGGATGATGGATGGATGATGGATCATGGGCCATGGATGAATGGATGGATGATGGTGGATGATGGATCAGTGGGAAGGTGGGTTAGATGATGGGTGGGTGATGGATGGATGGACAGGTGGATGGATGATGGATGATGATGGATGGATGATGGATGATGGATGGTGGATGGACAATGGATGATGGATGGATGGATGATGGATGATGGATCGGTGGGAAGGTGGGTTAGATGATGGATGGGTAATGGATGGATGGACAGGTGGATGGATGATGGATGATGGCTGCATGGTGGATGGATGGTGGATCATGGAAGGATGATGGATGATGGATGGGTGATGGATGGATGGATGGACGATGGATGGATGATGGATGATGGTGAATAGATGGATGATGGATGGATGGATGATGGATGGATGGACAATGGATGGATGGATGGATGATGGATGGATGATGATGGATGGATGATGGATGGATGGATGGATGGCTGGATGGATGGATGATGGATGGATGGATGGAGGGTGATGGATGGATGATGGATGGATGGAGGATGATGGATGATGATGGATGGATGGAGGGGGATGGATGGATGATGGATGATGGATGATGATGGATGATGGATGAATGGTGGATGATGGATGGATGATGGATGGAGGATGGATGGATGATGGATGATGGTGAATAGATGGATGATGGATGGATGGATGATGGATGGATGGACAATGGATGGATGGATGGATGATGGATGGTGGATGATGGATGGAGGATGATGGATGGATGATGGATGGATGGAGGATGATGGATGATGATGGATGGATGGAGGGTGATGGATGGATGATGGATGATGGATGAATGGTGGATGATGGATGGATGATGGATGGATGATGGATGGAGGATGATGGATGGATGATGGATGGATGGATGGATGGATGGATGGCTGGATGGATGGATGATGGATGGATGGATGGAGGGTGATGGATGGATGATGGATGGATGGAGGATGATGGATGATGATGGATGGATGGAGGGGGATGGATGGATGATGGATGATGGATGATGATGGATGATGGATGAATGGTGGATGATGGATGGATGATGGATGGATGATGGATGGAGGATGGATGGATGATGGATGATGGATGGATGATGGATGGATGGATGGAGGATGATGGATGGATGATGGATGGATGGAGGATGATGGATGATGATGGATGGATGGAGGGGGATGGATGGATGATGGATGATGGATGATGGATGATGGATGAATGGTGGATGATGGATGGATGATGGATGGAGGATGGATGGAGGATGGATGGAGGATGCATGATGGATCGATCATGGATCATGGATGGATGATGGAGGATGGATGGAGAATGGATGGATGATGTTGGAAGGATGGAAGATGGATGGATGACGGATAGATTCATTGACCTTTGTGGGGCACCTTTGCCCAGAAAGACACCCTCTTATGCCTGCTGTGGTTCAGAGTCCCCATCCTTGAGCCAGAGGGAGACAGGGCAAGTGCCTTGAGACGACCCCAAGAACCAACCAAATTGATTGCACTTCTGTGAGGTCCGTGGAGCCATCACCCCCACAGAGACAGAAAACCCTGGGGCCAGGGCGGGAGGGCACGGGAGGTTCAAGTGAGCACTTCTGCAGAGGGCGGTGGCCCCGGGGAGCGCGGGTGTAGGCCGTGTAGCCCCAACCAGACACACACTCAAGAGGGGGGAGACGGCGCCTTCTCCATGATTGGGATTTTATGGTAATTTGGGGGAGGTCGAGCAACTTCTTTTTTGCTGCTCTCAAATGTAATCGAAAGCCAGGACTTTCTGGTGACGCTCAGCCCGGCCAGGCTGTGCCCCGTTGTGCCGGGAGCCGGTGACCGCCTGGAATCCAAGAGGCCGTGACCGCCTGGGCCCGCTTGGTGCTGAGGTCAGACACTTCCTCTCCCTCGCCCTGCCTGTTCCCCCTGAAAGCAGGAACCGTCTCGGGGATGGGGTGCCCCCCGCAGAGGCGGAAAGACCCAAAGGTCTTTCTGGGAGGTGCATGTGAAGCCTCTCAGTTCCCCCGTCCTGTGACTTCTCCACGGATGCCTCTTTGTGGGGGGCCCACAGAACCTGCCCCCCATCCTCTGGGGGTTCCCGGTCCACACTCTTAAACTCCTCTTTGCTCTTGCTAATCATTTTCACTTGATGAGGGGCCTGCCAGGAGGGGGCTCCTTTAGGAAACTCCCTAGCACTAACCACCCAAGTCAGCCTCCTCTGCAGACTGGGGGTGCAGCACCCCCAGGGCTTGAAGCGAATCTCACTGACTCATCCGGGTGTCTGAGCGGAGAACACACGGCAGCCTGGACTCTAGAGAACGGGCGATGCCGAGTCTGTTCTGGAGGCCGAGAGCGCGGGGAATATTACTTGGCCAGGAACAGGAGCTCCGGCAGTCGGGACCGAGCCGGGGTCTGGCCACATGGTGGTCGGGGGGGTGCAGCGGACCCAGCAAGCCACACGGGGCGGGGGCCGGCCCAGGAAATGCCGAGGCCGCCAGTGCACGGCCAGGGAGTGGACCCGGGTGTGGGGCTGGGGAGCCTGAGGGGACGGGTCTCCATTCAGGGCACAGGAACTTCCCGAAAGCCACGGTGACGCGGGGCCCGCGTGTGGCGCGGCTAAAAACCCCGATTCTGCGCTCCAAGGGGTCGGCGGGTCTGGCTCCGACCCCCAGAGTCACGCCCTGTCTCGGGGACCCCAGGACGGGGGCCTGGAAGTCGGGGCAGCCCCTGGCGGCAGCGCCGGCCGGCACCTGAGCCGGGGCCTCCCCCTGGACTCCCCGTTCCTGTGTTTTCTCAGAAAAGCAGAGACACGGCAGGAACTCGGGCGATGGCAGGTCTGATTGGCAACCGCGCCCCCGCCGGGCCTCCGGGCTCCGCACGAGGGTTTCCTGCTGCGCGGGCTCAGCTCCCGCCAACGACAGGCGCCCAGGGACGGCGGGTCCTGCCGGGCAGCTGGGGGTGGATGCAGGGTGGGGGGCCCGCGCTGGCCTCATCCCCCTCCTGGGGCTCAGGGAGCCCAAACACCCCCCTTTTCCTTGGCGGGTGCAAAGCCCAGCCTCCAGGGACACTGCCCAGTGGCCTTGTAGGGTCAGGGCAGAGATGCCTGTCCCTGGGAGGAGCCGGGAGCCCCGCGTGGGCTCCCCTGCTGTCCCCTGCTGTCCCCTCTCTCCAGCTCTACGTCCATGCAGCTGAAACGCTAACCCCAGCATGCAATTAAGCAAGAAGAATGCAAAGCTGGCCACACGGGCTCCCACCGCCCAGTCCGCCCACGTGGGGACGCCGCTCTGTGCATCTGTGCAGGACCACAGGGGCCTCCAGCTGTCCGCGGCTCAGGATTAGGCCAGTGGACAGTCCTCAGCCCTCGCTGGGGGCCTCGGGCCATGTGGGGGACAGAGAAGCCACAGCCCAGCCCAGCATCTGGGGGGTGCGTCCTAGCTGACCCCCCACAACCACAGGCAGGGCTCCCGGCCCCAGCCTCACTGGCCGCAGGGGCGAGGTCCCGGAAGGGCCGGGCCGCCCACACCCCACACCGCAGGGCCCACGCTCTCTAGGAAGTTGCTAGAAGCCTCGGTGGAGCCGGTACCGGCCTCGCCCCTCCCTGCCCACGGCGACTCCGGCGGGGATCCAGACAGGCCTGAGCTGCCTCTTTCAGTCCGAACGCCAAAGATTGGGGGGGCAGGGCAGCAGGACCCCACACACAGGCCGTGCTCTGGGGCCAGCAGGACCCCTGGGTCAGGCGGGGGACTGGCCTGAGTGTGCAGAACGGGGCCGGGGCCCAGGGCTGGCGGCTGGGGAGACCCACAGCACCCGGCTGCCTCACCTGCTCTGCGCAAGCGTGAGTGGGGGGCCTCCCAAACGCACCCCCCAGGCTGCAGGGGAGGGTCCACGGCCTTCCACGCAGGCTCAGAAATGGGCTTGAGCCTCCGGTCACGACCCATCAGTGTCCCTCAGTGTCCACATGTGTCCCCTCCCCGAGCCACAGACTCAACTCAGAGCTGTGGGCACCATCCCTGCCGGACACGGCTTCGCCCCGCCTGGCACTTTCTAACACGGCTGACTACAGGGCCGGCAGGTGGCAAGAACTTCCCGGGAACCCCAGCGGCCAGGCCCAGAGGACAGGTGAGCCAGGACACAGGTGTCAACCCTTGTGCGGGTCTCGACGGGGGGTTCAGGATGAGCCTGGATCACCCCCAAAGGTGAGTTACCATGGGAACAAAGCCTCCAGCCATGTTGGGGACAGAACACACAGACACAAGCCGCACGCTCGGCACACGGGCCTCAGTTAGGTTTTGCCTTGCTAGTCTGATCCCGACATCCACCGAGAACGAAACTCTTAGCAGCAGCTGACCCAGGTTTGGAGAGATGAGGACACTCCTGCCAGCTCCTGGTAACTTTTGTAGAGAGCAGCGTGGCTGCAAGAGGGGACAGAGAGAGAGGGAGAGAGTGGATGGATGATGGGTGGATGATGGGTGATGGATGATCATGGATGGATGGAGGGATGGAGGATAGATGGATGGTGGATGATGATGGATGATGGATGGATGATGGCGGATGATGGATGAGGATAGATGGATGATGGATGGAAGATGGATGGAGGATGGATGGACAATGGATGATGGATGGATGATGGATGATGGATGGATGGATAATGGATGGATGATAGTTGATGGATGGATCATGGTTGATGGTTGATGGATGGATGATGGATGGATGATGGAGGATGGATGGATGATGAATGATGAAAGGATCAGGGATGATGGATGATGG